CCGGGGCGGGGGGCTGCAGCCGCCGCGGGGGAGCCTCATCCCTGCAGCGAGAGGGCCCGGCCTCAGCAGGGCAGGGAGCGGGGCCGGGGGGGTGAGCCCGGTTTGGGCTGGGGTTTGCGGCAGCTCCCCCAGCTCCAGGCCACGCGCRTCCCTGGTAACTTATTCCCGGGAAACTCGGTGTTTTCCTTGCGGCCGCCTGGCCGGTCTCTTCCATTTGCAAGTGGGAAATGTGAAGGAAAAGGGGAGAGGGAGGAAAAAACCAGTCCCCCSAAAGCTGCCGGTGCTGCCGCTCCCGCCCCGCCGGCGCTGACCCTGCAGCTTCATCGGCRAAGCCCCTTAGTGTAATTAATTGTAACATAATTCTTTTAAATAAATGGATTTATTGATGAAACTGCACTTAAAACGTGACTCCCTGGCTTCTSTGCGGGGGAGGCCTGGGTTGGGTGCCCCTGGGCCCTCCCTGTCCCCCCCCGACTCTCCCATGGGTGCCGCTGGGGCAGGGAGGGTCCCTTGGGGTYACTCGCAAGCGCTTAAATGTCTCTTCTAGCCTTTTCATTTTTTTTTAACTTCTTTTATTTAGACAGAAAAAAAAAATAAAGGAGGAAAAAAAAATCCAAAAAGAAGTTAAGTTATCCAAAGTAACCGCAATAAATAGCAAATAAGTTAAGCGGCGGTGTCCGAACTGCAAACGTCGACTCCCGGGGGTCTGCGCCCCCCCCAGCCCCGCTCCCCCCACCCCGCACCCCCCCTCTAAACCAAAAGAGCAGGTACCAAATCCCCCCCCAACCGAGGGGGGGAAGGGGAGAGAGGAAGAGGAGGGAGATGGCGGAGGGAGGAAGGGCCGGGCGCCTCCACAGGGGGGTATTTACAGCGGTGTAAACGTGGGGCCCGGCCCCGCGCGGGGTGGGGGGCGTGGAGGGGGCCGCGGGGGGGTCCCCACGGGGCCAGGGGTGCAACTCCTGGCCGTGCGGCCCCGGGGGGGCCGGGGGTGGCAGTGTGTGACGGGGACCCCGCGGGGCTCCCCCCGGCCTTGGAGCCGGGTTTGGTCCTGTTTGGTGAGAAAAAAGCTCCAAGGAGGGTCCCCCCCGCCCCGGGAGGGCAGGACCTGGGGCGGGGGGGCTGGAGGGAGCAGGTGCCCCCCCCCACAGGGTAGACCGGGTGCTGGGGGGTGCTTGACTCCCCTCCCCTCACTGCTGATGCCGTGGGGTGCCCAAGGCCCCCCCAGGCCTGCTGGCATGGGGAGGGGGTCCCTATCCGTCCTTGGTGGGGGAGTCCCAGTCTATCCTGGATGGGGGGGGTCCCGGTTCCTCCTGGGGGTCCCAGTCCGTCCTGGTCCATC